ATTTTTGTTCCATTCACGTGACAAATCTTCTAACTGAAAGCAACTGTCTAGTGACCCAGTCAATTAGGGGTTTTCGCTACCGAACTCAACCCTTGTAGGGGACGAAATTCACAATGCAAACGATTTCTTAGTACAACAATCAGAAGTCAACTACTAACTTGTGCAATCATCCGTAGGATAGTGAGATTTTGCTCAACAAGCCCCGGTAAAAACAGTGCATGGTGATAACCAATGAAGGGCTACTTGCCTTTGTGTGATACAAAACGGCATAAAAGATGTCTCATATATATACACTTCTTGCTACACTCAACCGAATCCTATTTTGCTCTAAGTTTCTCAGTCCGAGTCACTCTTTTTTTGCTGTTCTTCTCTGTGGGATCAGCTTTGTCTGTTGTAAACTGTTCTGGAGATACTCACTTCTCCTTTTCATGCCTATGGCTCTCGACTTGTTGATGCGATGAACCTCACAGCTGTCAACTCCAACGGTCAGTCGGCGTATGGAACCAAGAAGGAAGTGTACAAGAAGAAGCCCAATATCCGCAAGCATTTGGTTAAAATACTTCCAGAATGCGCTTATAGGTCAGTGCACGAACTTTGTTCCTTTTTGAGGGAGAAAAAACAAAAAGTGGCTGAGGCCTTCCATGCACTGCATAAGGTTCAGGGTAGGCAATGAAGACCGTCAATCTGTCGCATACCAGCCGCAGCTGAGGCCGTCAGCATCATCCTCCACAACCCCCCCCCCCCTATCTGTGTTCAAAAACAATTTATGTGTCCTTAAGCTGCCCTCCATCCGCCTCACAACAGGCCATAGACCTGATGAAAACTGCAAACACATGGGAAAAACAACACAAATCCGGTTTTAATTTAGGCCCAGTTTACAATTTCTCCTCCCCCCACCCCCCTTCATTATTAAGTTTCATCACTTTCCAGTTATCCAATTGGTTCAACCATTTGACTTGTCGTAATATATTGTGGTGTAATAGCATGATTATGAATCACTGTAAATGAGCTTGTTCGCCAAACTGTTTTCTTCAAAAAACAAACCTTTTGAGCGGTAGTTCACGTGATTTTGAAATGTCTAGCTCACTTGATACAACTGCCTATCTTTGGAAAATATATCCTGTTCATCAAAAGTTATCGCATTGCTAACTGACAGCTTCTATGTCATAAGCAACTGCGTGTCAGACAAATTCGAAAGGAACATCAATTGGTATTTCTTATCCATTGAAATACTACTGACACCTTTATTAGCCAGCGGGAATTAATTGAGGAGTCTCCTCTCTGGATGCTCTTATTGATATGATGATACCCGCGGTTCGACACAAGATCAAATGCAAACTATTCTGGAACTTTAGGACAGAGATTTTTACTGTGGAATCTCACAGTCTTTGATAAAGGTTGCACTGAGGATTCCAACAATGGGAAAGTATCGAAACTTCAGAGGTCAGATGGCAAAGCGCTTCCATGTAAAGACCCAGGTTCAGAGAACAACCCAATCAATTGGCTTATAAGAAGACTTTCTGAGTAAGGGAGATTTGACACAAATCGCTTACTCTCTGAATTCTTCATAAGATCTTATCAGTCCCACACTTACATTCCAAGACCACGAACAGTAGACAGTCAGCAGTTATTTTCAGTTATTTCTGACATCGATCTTACTGATCATCAAATAGGTGAATACAGAGTAGCTAACGAGACATTGTCTGGGTTACGAATGTGCAGTTCAACCATAGGATTATTCAAACAAACCTCTTTCTCATTTAGCATATTTTTCGCCAATGTGATATTTTCCTGCCTCATTCGTCTTGGTTTGCTTGCCAAGTTCGTCGGGTTGGTCACGCGCACTCTCATTTGTGGTAACACAAGTCGATATTTGTTACAGAACATTTATAAATTACGATGCTGAAAAATCATTCATCCGGTTAGCAAGGTTGTGAATGGGTGTTATCAAATGATTCACCCACGGAACACTTTCCATTATACTCTTTGTCTTTCTCTGGCCGGTCGATTTTTTTCGTTCAGCTGCACGAAGCGTGATTAATTCCAATTTCCAATAAAATTGTGACGGAATACCTACGTGTTCTGTTGTCTCACATTTTGCTTGATTTGTAGTTTCGAAATAACAGCAAGACAGAATATCGAAGTGTATATTTGGAAGGTACTTTTTGCTGTTTTGTATCAACTTTCTGAGGGTCACCGTCATTCTGTTCGTGACCACTATCCGCTGAGTTTGATTTCACCGCAGCGAGTATAATAGGTTTCCTGGCCTATCCAGGACTGCACAAGTTT